TTTTCGCCGCATTGAACAGTTTTTAAGTTTATCATGGCATGCCATCTTGATGGGTGAGGAAACCGAATTGATGTAGGTGTTAGAGGTTACCACTTTTGTAAGGCAGACGAGCGAGGGTATTGTGTTGACACAATCAGGGCGAATCTGGGATTGGAACCCACGAGCATTGGTTTCTGGCACACTGACGGTGTCTATAGTCTATTATAGTCTAAATACCTTCTAGAAAGTTCCGTACCATGCTGGATTAGTCTATGGCTGTTCTAAAAGATTCCAGACGACTCTTGACCCTGAAAGCATCTAAATAAAGTAACTTCCACTCCACTGCTTACATTCCTGACAACTACTTATTGTTGAAGTACAATGTTCTGAACTTCTACTGAATCTTAACAGAAACAATGCAATACAATTACAATATTGTTTAACTATACGTTACCGCATCCAAATGAACACATATAAGTTAGTGAGGTCGGCTCTCACGTTGCGTTTCAAATGGTTATGGAAAGTTGTTTGACAAAGGTAAGTTTATGGTTATGGATAGTTGTTTGACAAAGGTAAGTTTTTAACTGGTATATTTTGGAAGTAAAAACGTTGACGAGGAAGTAGAATAAGCGTTATCGACGTGAGTATTAAACACACATAAACATGTCAATTTACCTACCACCCATAACAGAAGCTTCTCGCACGGTGTTTCCGTAATCAACTGGAACTGACAGCTTTAAACATACATATGTAAGTGTTATGAAGATCCAGGAAACTAAAGATGGGATGGAAAAACATTTTAAATTAACTCATTTTATCTACAAAAACAAATATATGTTTGTAAGAATGATGATATCAATGACATACCTTTCTCATACAAACATGCTTTTCATTGTGTATAAGTCCGTGAGTGTGGTTTTATGTTGTTTCCAGCCGTTTCACGGTGGGGGACAATAGAAATGGGATTCATTCATTGTACCCATGTGAGGAATCGAACCCGAAACCGGGTCTTCGGCTTGACGAACAAACGCTTAAACCGCTAGGCTACTCGACCGTCCCTTGTGTTATGAAGAACTATGCCACTTTACATGAGTGTCTACCTGTTGGAAGAAAATGTTTAATTCCAGATGTGAAGATGAACATGTAAAGATTGGGACACTGAATGAAAGAAAAAAATTAGTTCAAACTTTATAAACCGGCTGTTACTTAGCCTACTCGCGAAGATGACGTGATGTATTGTCCATGAAAACACACATTTCAAAGAAGAGTTTATAACTGGAGTTATTGTAGAAGTGTTGTTTCATTCTTGTTTTGGATGTAATTAATTTTGGGATGTATTTCTCTCCATCGGCTGTATGAGGTATACATCATTGAAGCTACTAAACAAAACTACTCTTATGATGATTATATGTAACTCAGTTTATAACAGAAGCTCTGGCCTTCTCACAAGCTACAAGGTATTACTAGAGTTTCTATTTGTAAGCTTAGAACCTACAGGCAATTTGAGGCGTAAAATGTTGTTGAATACTATGTTCTTAATGTAAAATATAGGGACCACCGTCGACTTTTAGCTTTGTTTTGATGCAGATCTTTACATCTTGCCATAGAAACTGGACGCTTTAACAAACCACCAACCCCTCTTCTAGATAGAATGTGCCCACATAAAATGTACAAGTCATATAAACATGCACACTTCATAAGATGTATAAACGTAAACAATGATTTAATTTATAAACATTTTGTTAATATTATCATGTATAATTATGTTTCGTACAGGATGCGAACAGCATCCTTCTTATGTTTTATACACACATGAATGTATTGTTTTATTGTGTCTCAAAAACCTTATGGCTGGGCCTTACTTACACATTATATATCAAGTTTTTGTATATACACAGTCAATGTAATGTGTGAACCCTGAATAAACTATTTCTGTGTATGTGAAACTTTACAACACAGTAGCAACATTTACACCATACAGTTTATATGCGTTAGAACATGCATTGTTACCTTTTTCCACTCTAATGTAATCATTCAATATTCTTCCTTGTTACAAGAGCGATCCTCCCAGGTCTGATCGTAGCAAGCTAGGTGTAAGTCTGATCATATCTATGTCAGTTTTCCTCTGAAACCAGCTTATTGCGTTTGTTTGTGATAACGCCGCACAGGCAATATCTCAGACAGCTAGGGACGAGAACAAAATAAACATACATATTATTTTGACGTAACATGTCTTGTGAACCAAATGTTGTACATTCATGGTTATTCTGTACATACTAGACCTGTGAAGTTCCGGGTTAGAGTGGTCTTCAGCAACCCCTCCTTTTCGTAAGAGGCGAATAACGGGATCAGTTGGTCTTGCTCAGTGAGTTGCATGTCACTGTATCCCAATTTATGTTCTAATTCACTATTTTCAAACGAACATAAAACATTGACGATGACAACATACTCCACTCATGGGCAACGCCTACCGCTGGTGACAGGCTAGCGGGTTTATTTACAGAATCATACATGAAGACACGCGACTGTAATGTTTTATTCAAGGTCAAACAATTCCGAATTCTGCACTATCCTTCTAAAATGATGCTTGAACTATTAATAATATGAAATATTACTGCGAAATGTTCTTTTTGTAAATATAAAGATAACTTATCTGGACGTGTATCTTCTGTGTATCCAAATCCATGTCCCGACTCCTGAATCACCTCTCTGTGGGATCACTCACTGAAGGAAAGCAACACCCTTCTCCGTGCTAAACAGCATTCATGCACTACGGCAATTTTCCAAACGGTTTTACCTACCATTCGGCACCAATGCAATAACAGGCGGTCCAACACAGACGAGTAGTACACCAAAATACTGATTATCTTTATATGTATATGTTTAAGAGAGACAAAGACAGCTCGCCAGTGTGACGCGACGGCCTCGAGTGGTGTCTCATTCACCTTGCCCTCTCCGCTGCACCATAGCCACGTGACACAACCACTTTCACGTGTACAACCTTCGTCTTCAAATTACATTCGTTACCGTATTAACCCCATATTAATTACATTTCGTAGAACGATGCTCGTGAGGTCAATCACTGATTTGTCTGGTCATGACTCGATTATTTATGGACCGCCGTCATATAGCTTGAATAGTGCTGTGCTGCGTTTGAATAACAAAAAAAAAAACATCTTAGAAAGATTTATATTGTGAAGGGAATTGTTCTAAAATAGTCCTCCAAACCCCCCAAGGATCTGGACTGTGTAAGCGAAGACGTCACTTAATTTCTCGGGATATGTCACCTTCTATGTTAGCTTTTGTTTAGTATTGATATTGTTTATATCCTAAACAGCGCCAATGTGCGCCAATGCCGCCTCACAGTGTAGACCATCTGTGACACATGATCATAGCGATATCACGTGGGGAAACGAACCTGGGTCAATGCTTTTTTCAGGTGAACTTTTGACTTGCCTTTGCATGTGTGTGTGACAGGAGCAACCAGTCGGTCAGGGAATTTTAATTGGCATGTGCTATGTAGTGGAGCATACAAAAAATGTCAGTTTCAAAATCTAGTTTGGAAAATCCGCTAATGCAACTTTTATATCACTATAACTTATATAACTATTCATTCCTGAAAATGGAAATGCCATGCCATCCGAAAAGGTGTGAGCAGCGAGGTTAGCTGATTTGTTGGATGTCACATAGTTCATGCTTCATATTCATGGGGGATGAGTGTTTGATGTTAAACGTCAACTGCTAAGCGAATGGGCCTCTTCAGAGGGTTTTATATGCGTACCGCAAACTCCTTTTAATCATCTTTATTGATGAAAATATCTTCAGCATATGGGAAAGTGTACTTTAGTCTTAATCCGTGTGAGATCTTAAATATATTTTTTATGAAATGGTAGGTACATAATGTTAAATAGTGATTCAATAACATATATAACGTTAACTAAGTATAACAGTTGAACAGTGGACCGAGGTGTCTGTAAGCAGACAGCACGTGTTAGTTTTGACATGGCATGAGTACAGTTGTTTCCAGCCAGCGTAGCGTATTTATTCAACAAGAATGGGTGTTTATGAGAACCGTCGATATGCTGACAATGAAGTAAGATAAACGTTTACCAGTATACAATGTACAATGTACATTTGAGTTCCTTCTGACACAGGTTTGTATAGACCCTGCCCCTACATTTTCTCAAACCTGTTTTACCATCCTTGCCAACACTACAATTATGTATACAATGTTTAGGAATCTGAATCACTGATATTTTGTAGGGGGCCGCAATGAGATTACAAGTTGAACTTATTTAATCATCGTTTTCTCAGAAACCATAAGGCACAGAGAGCTGATACTTTAGGAAGATGGATTGGAGAAAAAACTGTGTTGATTTCTTTCACAAATTGGACAACAAATATTCAGTTGTGTAAAATGTTCAAGCATCATAAGCTCACAAACGTAAATGCTCTTAAAGGTTTCTTCAATAATTTAATAAACCAAGAGGAAGGAGTGTTTATTAATCGATGAACTGAAAAACCTAAACGGGGTGTGTATGTAAAAAGCTTACCTAGACATAGGTATCTTCTCTTATCAACTCTAAAACACCCATATCTTGTCTGTTTCACATCATGATGAAACAGAGAAACAGCCTTCACCATCCAGTGGAAGCAGTCGCCGATGTAGGCAATTATACAAAAGAAAAGTATGAAAAAAGTATAATGACTTGGTAGATATTCGTCTACAGGGGACATTTGAGAAAAGAATTTATTTGTGTGACAGGTCAAGTTAGTCTGAGTACAAAATGCATCCATGCATAGGTCGATGCATTGCAGCAAACTGACATAAACAATAGTGAATGCCCTACAGTAATAGTAATAAACTACAGGCTTACAATCTTACAACGTAGAATTTTGTCAATTCATTTTTTTATGTTAAACAGCAATCTCAAAGTTGCAACAACATTTAATGTAGATCAACCGGCTGTTTACGTGTTAAGTGGTTCTGTTTGGCTAAATTTGGCTGAATTTGTTTTCAGATATCTTCGGACAAGCACATGGACGATGTTTCTGGTATTTGTTCTACTTCTTGTCTCATTGCCTGACTCCTCACAAGGTAGGTCCCTATCTTATTACGAAACTTCTAAGGCATGGGCACTGTGGGGAGTCCCAATCAAGCTAGGTCTACAGTTCCTTATACTTGTCGCACGAGCCAACAAAGGGGCATCGTGGAAGCTACGGGACTTGGCAGGTGGCCAGGTGGCTTGGGTCACTGTCATGCTGTCAGGCAACAGTTGGCCTGCTTCATACCCGATTATACTCCGTCACGATGTAACACTGTTCACTCAAACGTCCCCTCGCTCAAACATTCACTCTAAGGCACATCTTTACAGTGTGTACTTTTCAATGGAATTCCGGTCCTAAGACATAGTGAATACAGTCTTATATTAATGTTAAGTTACATACATCAAATTGAAGTAACTTGATGATAAAGAAACTGTGCATTGTGTTGTTAAATAATTTATGAAATTATGATACCGTGTCTAGGTGAGGAGTGTATGTTGCTGTATAACTATATCACAGGTGTACAAAAAGGAGATTTTAGGGAAAAGTTAAACAAGTGACATATTTGGATATAAGATACTTATATTCATTCTGTTTGTTTCTACAGAAGATTGTCACTGTCAGAATGGATGCACAAGTTTCCCTGGTTCTCCTTGCCAAGGAACATCGTGCCAAACAGGCTGGTTTGGGAGTTACTGCCAAAAGCGTGAGTAAAAGTACCATAAAAATGTTTTGATTTGGAAGGCTGTATGCAAACATCCAGTAATGAAAATTCTGACAATACTTAACATATGCAATTATTTTATTATGGAATATTTTGGAAATATAAATTACTCAAATTATAATATGAGACAATAATTATGTACATGTATACACGACTATGCTTGTCGTGGTCAGGGGGTGGTCAGGTTCACTGATTTTGTTGATGCATGTCATCGTTTCCAAATTTGCTTGGATCGATGCTCATGATGTCAATCAATGGATTGTCTGGTCCAGACTCGTTTATTTGCAGACCGCCGTCATATAGCTGGACTATTGGTGAGCGTGGCGTATGAAATTATACAAATTATGTATGCAACAAAATAGTAATTTGTAGGCACCTCATATTTGTGAATATCCAAATAACAACAACATAACTACCTGTACCTAATAACTTGTGAATTTTCATAATTTGTCATCAGATATATATATATATATATATATATATATATATATATATATATAGGTCGAGTGGTTAACAACTAGCCAGTCAGAGGTTACATGCAAATTGCAATCATTTCCTTGAACTGGTTTAAACACGAGAACTTCAACAAATGTCGAAGTATCAGTTTGCAGAAAATGCACGAAATGTCCACAATGAGATTGTCTACGTTGTGAAACTGACAGTACAGTAACAAACCTGTCAGGCATAGGTATTTGTATGCTTTGTACTTATTTACTCCGACGATGTTACATTGTCTTCGTTTTCATTTTGAGCTATACTTTTTACTAAACTAAACTAAGTTTAATTGCATAATGTGTTTTCAGAATTCTAAGTGCGGGTTTTGCTAGATTGATAGTGCCACTGAGTTCGACTGTGTTTTGATATTTTATATATTTCGTTAAAGGCAACATAGCACGTGGACAATCGACATGGCAGAGCAGCATATTGCAAGGACATGGTTATGCTTCATCAGACAAGGCTGTCGATGGCAATACTGACCAAACGTTTGAGGATAAAAGTTGTACGCACACAGACGACAAGACGTCTAGTGGAGCAGATTGGCTTGTTAACTTCACTACCACTTTGGAGATTAGACGGATGAGAATATATCTTCGTAATGGCTGTGAGTGACATATGTCTACTCCATGAAAAGGGAGGCATCCGTGTACCGTTCGTTGCGTCCTTTAGGCATGGCAGGATCCTAAGCCCCCATCCCCGAATTTTACACAATTGGTCGCTTTCTTAAGAGATTTCATTGTTTGTTGTTGAACACCCTACTCAGCAATACTATATGGCGACAGTCTGTAAATAGTCTAGTGTCGACCAAACAAATACATTAATTGACATCATGAGCATCGATCTTCGCAATTCGGATGTGATGACATGCATCAAGCAAGTCAGCTTTGATGCCACAAACTATATACATACATTTGATATAAAGTCAATTCTTATGTAACCCAAGGGATGTCTTGAAAATATATCACATCACACTATTGCTCACAATGTTCTACAAATTGTGCTTGTTTTTCTAAATTCAACTTGTTCAGACGCCATAGATCGACAATTATCAACATCAAAAGGATAAATTCAAACATGCATTCTTGCTGCTACACATGCCACCAGGCCCTAATCGGCGTTACACATTATACCTATATACATCTGGTATCATCACATAACGTTTGTTGTTCACAGATACTGACCGCAACGTGGGCCTTCAGGTGAAGGTTGGTGACCAGCTGTGTTACACATTGTCTGAAGACAACAGACAACAAACTGTTTTAAATATTACATGTGGCGAAGCTTTGAATGGTTCATCTGTTACAATAAGTGTCGATGGACCCTACCTGACATTATGTGAGGTGCAGATATTCCGTGAGTAGTCATGCAGACATCTTATTTTACTTATTAGCAGTACATATTATTATTTTATATCATTAAATAAAAACATTGGAATATAAACACGAACATAGGATATGATAACGAGAGCTGTCTTTAAATAATAACATTAAAAGTAACAGATAGAGGTTTAATGACAGTATTGTATCGGTGTATAAATGGACAGAACAAAGAACGAGGCGAAGAAACCGTTCCATTTATAAGGTTATGTCACACCTCCCCCATATATCTCAAAGCACAGCCAAATACGCGGCTTCCATGAGTAGCACATGGGCTTCTGTAGTGAACAGTTTGCTCTTTTCACTTTCAACTACTGGTCCAAAAGTCCAACGCCCAAGCTTCTGAGTACATGCAGCCCCAACAGCACTGACGTATAAAGTGTATTAGTTGGAGTACATAATCAGGATATATTTATTCTACATAGGTCCCAAATGACAAACGTCTATTGGATCAGATTCATTAGGTGTTCTCTGATTTGCATCTCATAGTATGTGTACTTGTAGAATGCAGTGATGGATGGTTTGGAGATGACTGTGACAAGCAGTGTCAGTGTCAGAATACAGCTGAAGTATGTGACAAGGAGACTGGCAACTGTAGGAATGGATGTGCTGCGGGGAAACACGGACCAGGGTGTCAGCAAGGTATGACAGAATGTGATATTAGGAAATCGTCCATCTGGTAGATTTTCTCACTTAAAGTTAGGTATAAACGTAATTCTAAATTAAGTTGTATTAAACACACATTGTCTGTACAGTAAAAACGTTTTGTGATTGTGATTTTTCAAATGACAATAGTGAAACACAGCTAAAAACATATAATGTCCTTGTGTGTGTATTGTATATTGTAGAATGCAACAATGGTTTGTTTGGATCTGACTGTAACAAACAGTGCCAGTGTCTAACTGCCTCTGAAGCGTGTAACAAGGAGACTGGCCACTGTAGTAGTGGATGTTCTGCTGGGAAACAAGGTCCAGGATGCCAGCAAGGTTTGACAAAAGTCTCTTTGTACCAGTTGTATATCTGTAACAATCTGATGAAAGGAAATCCATTCACAAGCAGTGCCAACTGATGCCATCATAGTGAATTTTACACTCGGTAATTGTTAAACACATTAATTTCGCACTTAATGGCTTATGTAAATGTTGTCATCAATTCAAGTTTTCCTTCTTAAAACAGAGAGTATAAAGTCAAGACGTGTTTATCTACTTATCCGTACAGATTGTGGCCAATATCATTATGGTATTCAGTGTTCCTCTACGTGTGGTCAGTGTAGCGGGTCGTCGGACTGTAAGAAGGATGATGGAACCTGCACACAAGGATGTCAACAGGGTTACAGTCCCCCTTTCTGTAAAAGTGAGACGTTATTTTATATAAAGTCGGTATAATGCAATGGACTCTGCTTTTAGATGAAATTTGTTATGATTTTGGAGTGGGTGAGTTAAAGTTTAACGTCACATTGGCAATATGTCAGCCATATCGTGACGAGACGTTATGATTGTGGAAACAAATGTTGTCGCTTCTATTAACAACGTTTGGAATGCCCGGTGTCTTCTGTCACGCTGTGGGTTTAAATACGATGTGTAACACCTAGCTAGTGTCATACTTACTATAACTTTAGAAGATCCGTCAGTGTTGTATTTTAATAAATATCTATCTCTATTGTAAGGGCTCATGTAAAACACTAGTGTGATGATCTCTAAGGCAATGACATTTCATGTCAACAACTATTACGCATGTGTAAATGTATTTGGTAGCTGCTGACCGTTGTAGAGAAATATGGGACATTCTGTTTGAAGTCGAATTGCATATACCCCAACAAGAAATGATGAGATTAAAAAGGAAGATCATATAAGCATAGACTTTCCTTTCTTTTTTCTAATTCCAAATCGCACTGTGTGGCGATGTCTTTTCACAAACCTGATTTTTTTTATCACTAGAACGGAAGTGATGTCATTTGAATGGAATTACGTATATGTTCGAAAGTTGTGAGAATAGTTTTCCCTCAAGTTATCTCTTTTGTCGAACATGTAATCATGTGCGAAAATGTTTCTTGACATTTGATATTAGAATTAGACATGTAATTCTGGGTGTCACACACACTCTCTCTCTCTTTACATATGATTGTTCTGAAATTGTAGTTATGTAAATTTCACAATACATTGTGCCTTATATTTATTTCTTAGTTATAACATTACCTAAATGTTTTATTGTTACCTTAGTCTTAACACAATGATTGGTTTGAATTCATATTACTGTAAACTTACCCAAATCAGTGTGCATGTCATTTGTTTATTTCGTTGTCCACTGCATCAAGGTAGCTACATCTTACATTTTGATTATTATCACAATCTAATTAAAAATCTACAAAATGTATTTGTAAGATACGGACTCCAGTAACACCTGCTCTGATGTTGCTGCACTGGTTACCACTCAAAACCAGAATTGAATTCAAAATTCTAAGCCTGGCCTACAAATGCTACATGGTAACAGCCCCATTATATCTTCACAAACTACTGCCTAAATACATCCCTTCAAGATCTCGTCGTTCTCAGAATAACCACCTGTTACAAGTCCAGGAAATCCGTCTCAAAACCTTTGGTCAGAGATCTTTTCAGTGCTGTGCTTCCTCGTTATGGAACAAACAACCATCTGGTCTTCAGCGGTCACCATCGCTTTCATCCTTTGAGGCTCATCTGAAAACATACCTTTACAGACAACACTATCAACTCTACTCCCCTTTCATTATCATTACATGCTAAAACTATGTAGCGAAACACAGCATTAACTTGATGAATGAAATATGGCGCATTATGAATGGACTTATAATTATTATTATTATATATATTGACGTGAACACCCCTGGGCCATCTGTAAATATTATCATTCTTTCTCAATCCAGACCAATCCGTATAGTTTAGCAGAGAATCTACCAGATATTGTTTAGTACTTACAATTAGGCGCAAGACAGTGAGACAATCCACGCTTCATGCAAAGTGTTTCTTATATGTCTTGTATATCTTTTTATAACGAATCTAGGTTTGATCTTATGTTAGAGAAATGTATTTACACCATAATTGTCTTTACAGTGTCTTTTGGAACATTGTAGAGATTATAAAGTCGTATAAGATGTCCAAGCTGCTTTCAAGAAGGCAATTAAAAAGGCAGTTAAAATCTACATCAGTCAAGCAACTGTGAGAAGAAGCGATTATAAGTAGTGAAGTTTTACAGTTGAAGTTATACCAGTTCCAAGAGAGTGACTGCACATTGATCTGTAATCCCCATTCGTGAATCAGTCCATACTTCATTCCACCTTTTATACATGTAACTTGTTACAAAACAACATCACCATGAAAGATTTTAATCTGACATTCAACTTATAATCCAATGTCAAGCATTGTCTTACGATACATATTTTGTTGAGAAAATAATATGTTGTATTTTGTCATTGAAGCGGTTTAAAAAATAAACCTATCCTGAGATGTGGTAATTTCATTCTTTCAAGGCAAGGCTTTAAGATAATCTTCGTCCTTTCAGTGTGTGCAGTTCACTTCTATGGACCGCCCTGCCAAGGATGTGGACACTGTAAGGACGATTCCCCATGTTCTGTGCTAAATGGGGCATGCCCGACTGGTTGTAAACCTGGATATGAACCTCTACTGTGTAACACAGGTGATATATCTTATTTAATCTGGAGTCATAATATTAACACATAGTGATTAGATTATACATGGAAATAAATACATTATATTAATACATATATAAATACACAATGTCAGTTCCAATTTGTACTTGATACACACTAAACACTATCAATCAAGCCACCGAACCTGACCTAGCGATCCATTAAGTCGCCTTTAAATATCTTAAAAGACATTGTGGTTCTATCATTGTTCATGAAACCATTGCACCTGTAATGAACGCACTTATGTTTAACATTGTTTTATGGGAAATATTCCACAATGCATAAATGAAATATGCCGAGAAAGTATACATTTAAAGTGACAATGATACCCGTTATAAATACATCACCATCGAATAACCATTTCTTGTTTGTTTCATTTTAGCCAACATCAAACACGGGTGTGTGCTTTCTTTGCACGGCAGTATATTTTTTAATTACATCAATTGTTTCAATAGCCTGTATCGCCGGGAGGTATGGGGAAGACTGTCTTCATACTTGCGGTCACTGTCAGATCAACGGCTCATGTGATACCCAGACTGGACGCTGTGAAAGCAATTGCCAACCAGGATATATAGGACCACTATGCATACAAGGTGATCAGAAGTTACTTGTTTGTAGTTTGGTAAAGGGTGAATATCTTTGTGTTTTACTTCTCCTATGCACTGATATAATGTATAAACATATAGCTTAAATATATTTAATGCCACGTATAAATCTACAGTATGCATGTTTTCAGAATGTGCTGACTACACATACGGTATCAACTGTTCCGGTGTCTGCAGCTGCCTGAACCAGTCTGAGGTGTGTGATAAAGTCACAGGTGAATGTAGAACGGGGCATCAATCGACGACAATAGCAGCAGTAAAAGCACCAGAAGCACAGCAGGGTCAAGGACATGAGGGTAACTATATAGCTAGTAGATTAGTTTCAGTTACATGTAGATCCTGACCGCTAAGGTTGTGCGTGCTTCGGTGCGCACGCATTTGTGTGTGTGAGTCTGCGTATGTATGTGTGTGTGTGCGTGTACCTGTGCGTGTGCGTGTGCGTGTCTTGGATTCGTGGCAAGCAGTGGAAGGGTTCGCACATAGGTCATGCACTGAGTAGGTTTCATTTTCTTTGGTTTATAAACGGCCTCATTCCATTACCTTACTCCATTTCTTACATCATGTTACTTGAATATTTCAGATATCCGCCTCATTGTTGTCAGTTGCCTTCTGGCCATTTCGTGTGTGTATGCAGTAATAACAACTGCAAATAACTACAGGTAATACATGGAATCCAATACAACGAACATGTGTATATCACCAAACCTAACTGTTTCAACACCTATTGAAGGAACATATTTAAAAAGTAAACTTTAAGTTAATGTTTCCGATGCTGTTGTTCATAAGTTACTTAATCCTAAATTTCAGAATTAGACGCAGCATGAAGATACTCAAAGCTGAACAAATGCAAAAGTACTCAACTCTGCAGGTCCGTGGGGAATCGTCTGTTTATGATGTCATTGCTGAGACGAACGTGTATGCAAATGAGTCCATACAGGACCAAGATCCGAATGAAAATTGACAAAGATACATGCGTTCATATAAACACAGTATTTAGACACCTTGGCTTAACATCAGACGTACTTCACCTTAAACTCTGCAAAATTTCCGAATTAGAGTTTCAAAGGACAGTCTTTATTGCCTGTTTAAGACATTCATGCACATAACTGAAATAACTGAACAAGCAGTGAAGAATGTGTGATCTTTTACTCAAACAAACAGTGACATTCTGTGTCATTGGTTTGCGTGACGAGCTTCAGATCGAGGGGCCGCCCCCTTGTATTTTTAATTGCAGTGATTCAGTTTATTATGTTGATACCGGATTCTCCGGCTGAATCGATGTGTGTGTCCCGGTTAACATATCCAAGGGACGTAACTCTGTATATCTTATGTATAAACGCACATGGTGCGGATACTGCGAGCGGCGCGTTTCTTTGTATGCGGTATATAAAGAGTTATTGAAATACTAGGGTTTGTTAACACCATTGATGATCTAATTAAAAGTCCGTTGTGTTCATTGAAATTCCCGCATTCCGATTAGCTAAATTGGTCACGTGTTATTGCATTTATGGTGCGATACTGCGAGCGGCCCGTTTCTTTGTAAGTGTTATATAGAAAGTGATTGAAATACTGGGGTTTGTTAACACCAATATTGATCTAATGAAATGTCCGTTGTGTTCATTGAAATTCCTGCATTCCGATTAGCTGAATTGGTCACGTGTTATTGCATTCATTTCCCAATGAATGTAAAAATTAAGCCACGCCCACTTTTATCACTTCAGTCGGTGAATCCCAATATCACAGTCGAGGGAATTCCCTTCCTGCTTACATGTATCGTCATGCGCAGGAAATTTAGCGAAATTCATGCATATTCATTTTCCAAGCTGACCTACGCGGATTCAAAAAGTTTGCACATCGGTTTTTCGATTCATATATACTAAAAGTCAATCTTAGATTTAACTATTGATATATGAATGAAATGAAAGCATTTGCTGTATACTGTGCTGGCGGGGAAAGGTAATTGTTAAAAAAAACTAATTTTATTCTGAAATTGAATAATGCATCTTTCAATGTATATGCGAGAAGACATCTCCTCGACTTTAAGGTCGTGATTCACCTTTTGCACGTACATGTACATCTTCATGTAAGACGCACAATTTGATGTGCGTGTGTTTGATACAGGCATGATACTCACACACGTTTGGTTTTTTTTATGTGTACAAAACGGACTGGTTGTTTTGCTATCAGGTGCTCATAAAATACACATTTGTTATACGCAAACTTTGGTGAGGTGGGCTGATGTTTTATTTATATATTTGGCATTTAACTTTCATATCATATAATGACACCAAATCTGTATTTCCTTCTGGACAACTCCCCTTTATTACATTCGTGCTGAGTCACCATGTTGAACTTGTTGTGACAGTAATAATACATATTGAGTACCTGAATATGTTCCAGTCAGAGTAATTTATGTGTTTCTTTCAATATTTGATACTGTAACAATTGTTATATATCAGTGTATTTTATTGTTAAACAATTATTGTAACTGTATTACATTGTTTTGGTTGAGATTCTGTACTTGCAATGTACTTGGACAATGATTAGTTATCAGGAATGTAGTACTATTTAATGTAAGCAGTGATGAGGAAGTTACTATATTTAGATGTGAGTGTCATGTGTTAACTTCCGGAATAGCATTGATGTATGTCAAGCCTCACAGAAACACGTGGAATATTCTGTGTGGAAAGTTCTGGAAGCTAGTTGGACTCCATAAGTTGAGTGGACGCGTGACTGTCTCATCTCATTACACATTTCCTCACATCATATTACACCAAGACCAGCTTTCATGTAAAGATCACCCCAGTTTCCCTGCCTGGGCACTTTCACGGGAACTTGGCCATTGTTTCTGCTGAGTGAATATATACTATTATCACTAACTTTTGCTATTTTGCTTTTGTATTTAATACTGACCACTGCTATCATATTATATATTGACACTGAATATTGTACTACAACTCTTTTGTGTACTGCCATTGTAATTGCTATGCAGTAATTTGTATTGATTTGTAAACCAAGCCAATTTTGTAATACAATTATTGATTATATACCCTTTGTTGGTTGTTGGTTGGTTTTACACTAAATTCTTTTACGTACAGACTCCTTGGATAACATATCGTTTCAGTTTGGGACACGTAACACAATGTCAAATTTCGAGACAGATACAAGCTAGGAATAAAAAGCGACAAAATTAATAAACATATGATAAAACCAAAGTCCATTGGACGATTCCAACTATGTCATAAGCATGTGTTTATGAGTCACTATCGAGTAGTAATGTTCACGAAAATGGGAGCGTTTTCTGCCCCACAGATGACACCCATCGTAAACACATGTAAAGGCTAGTCAATAGTGAACCTTCGCATGTCTACCAAAAAAGAATTACTAACGCCTTGAATGTTGTAACGCTGATCAAACAACTTTCAAGCAAGAGTCGTATGACGCGCTTTGTAATCTTCGTAGAAAGAGCGTATTGAAGAAACCTGAAAATATCCTTTCACTGCTGTTGTGTTTGTTCCTGTGTATGGGTGGAATGTTAAAATATTTTTGATGATGGGATGGCAATTATACATTTACTGGACACACTTTTCTACTTCAGTATTGGGCGGCGTGTCACAGTAGGTGTGCATGTCTGTTCATTGTATGTTTCATGACTGTTCTGTACATTTCTGTTGAGCAAACAAACGTTTATTTGTTTAGCTTTATATGTCTTTTGAGTTAATTCTTTTGGCATAATGCACTTGTACATGTGGATATGAATCAAGCTATAATACATGCAGTGTTATCTTTTCCATTTGAATATTGATGTTAGTTTATGTGCATGTGAGCGACATAAACATAAACGACGCAACGTAATTATGCCATTCACACAATAAGTATGTACCTGGCTATAAGCGAGATTACGACATCATATATCTAACAATATCCTTCTCGGTCCAGCTTATTATTAATCTTTATGTGTTTCTTTACATAATCTCGAAAAGTGACCACAGTAGCCTGTATAGTGATATGGTAGCTTACACACAATTCGTATCTCATTGTTATCTTCAGGATTGAGATCATCGCAATGTTGCCATGACCAGCTGAAAGGCATGCCTTCGTCTAATGTGTGTTGAACGTGAATGTTCATGTTGCTATTTTAGCAATACTCCAGTCATATCAGGGCGGGGTATACCAGACATGGTCCGTGAGGGGATTGAACCCGGATCAGCGTTTTACCAAACCTCGTTTAACCAGCCGTTCTATGCTTAATGAAACTGATGTTCAAGTAACATAAACCCCTGAGTGAAAAAAATACATTAAACTCAAACACACCATTTATCATCACTTGTCTTCAGATCTTGCTTTGTGATTGTCCCGTCAGTTGTGCTCATGAAACGTAATAGTGTTTAATGTGACGTCAATGCCTTGTCACATAACAACTGTCTCTTCACACTTTGAGTTACTGAAAGTCCACTGGCAGGCTTATGTAATGCAAACATGTTTCTTCGAAAATAAATCTTTATAAATTTGAATAAACGATACCATAATAAGCATACGTTGTTTAGTTGAGCAAACAAGAAAATCCGCTAAAGCAACTCATAATGACTTTCCAATAATAGATATCCGTAAATGGAGTTGTCATACCACTATGAATCGGTGTGTGCGAGGTTAAAAGATACGTTGGATGTCAAATGGTTCTGGTTCATATTCTTGAAGAGATGAGCGTTTTATTGTTAAACATCAAATGGGTAGTTGTGGTATGACTTGGGGGCATTATGGAAGGGCTTTGACTGGGTGAACAGTTTTCTCGTGTACATTATTTGATGATAATAGGTGAACAGTTTTCTAATGTACATGATTAAATGCATAAGGATGATTAAAATTATATATGAGTTATTGATGTCAATCTTGGAAGTGTATAAAATGGCATTTGCAAGTCATACTGCCATAACAAAATGGCTAATGCTCATGTTAATGTTCGATTTGTTGCTAACTCCCAAGGTGGACAGAACTTAGTTTTCAACGGACACAGATTCCTAATTAAGAACAGAAGAAACACCTCCATACGTTGGCGTTGCTGCAGGAAGGACTGTCCGGCGACAATCAACATCATCACCACCTATCGTGACGTCCACAACCACCCAGGAGACAACAAAGGTGTTGTCGTTCAAGTGAACTGAATATTTCTGCTGTAAAGTGAATTTGAAATGCAATACGTAATCTATCAATATGAAATAGATGCAATTTAATGAAATATATGCTTGCAGACATGCAACAGACTATAGGTAGTCCCCCTATTATTACCCACTTAACCACGGCTGACTACACCTGTACCCTATAACAATAGGTGAGGGCACAATGAGGTGTTCCCTCGGGGGACAAAGCTTAGATAGATGTGGCAGCAGTAGTCATAAAACTGGCGTAATGTGGTTAGATGCATAATGTGCAGTGCATGTTTGTTCAAGCGCGACCCATCCCTATTATCGACGTAGTTTCTGCAAGTCACATCCTCAATTTGAGAAGTCCTGCAAAGTATCGCAATACAACATCACAGTGACGTATCCTTCATATATTAATATTTTCCCCCATTGTGGAAGAAACACCGTTATGCTGTTCAGGAAAAAAACATAAAAATACATAACTCTACTCTTATCAGAACTGATTTTACTTAAGGCAAGGTGGGTTAGACTGGTGTTGTTAATTGAATATTTGAGATTTCATCTTTCAAACCATACATTGTATCAAAATATGTATTTCTGTTAATACCTGTTCTTTGTATTACCTGTTAACAAAGAACAATGCATAAAACAGCGAGTTTCATTTTCAACAGTGTTATTTTTCTAAACTGATATCATCCTGTGAAACAGGTTTAACATTGTTGAGAGGCGTACAGTTTTATTCAACAGTCAGATTACTTCCTGGTCCCAAACACGTCCACAACACGCAAAGGGTAAGTCTAATCTCTCTTATTTATGTTAGTTTTCCCCTTTTTCCAGGTTTTTATTAATATCACTTTCTTGAAACAGTATCGAAGCAGGGTGGCTTGTGTGTCGTGATTTGTACACCAAAAGGAATATCCCTATCGCGTCAACGTGTGACACAATGTCTTAATGCTGTCACCCTTATCAATTAATGTCATATTGCAGAATCCAGCAGCTGAAGTTTTATATATTGTTTCACCGCTTGAGTGTCGTCCTTTAGTGTAGGGGGGGGGGGGGGGGGGGGGGGGGGTGGGGGTTGGGGGGTTGATGTTAACATGTCTACGATGATAGAAGGGAAATCCTTACTGTACGCTTTTCTACTGCAGTGTAGCTGCCACGTTTCACTGTGCATTTCGTGTTCACAGTGTGATTGGTGACAGCTATTTTATGTATAAAGGCTGTCCTGAATAGCGTTTGTTTCTGTAGACTGATATAGCCTTCCAGTTGCATTCCCTCTTACATACTTTCAAGACATTTCCTTTGATTTGCACCTTGCGTTCGAACCTACGAATTTGGAATCCAATGCACGTCATAGGGATGCAACTCAACCTTAGGACTAGTGAGTTGGTTTTATCGCTGCTGTGATCATTGGCATGCCAGCTTGATGGGCGGGGAAGCCGAATTGGTGTGGGACTTAGAGGTCACCACTTTGTTGAAGCACACGAGCACGAGTATGGTGTTGACACAACCCGGGCGAATCTGGGATTCGAACCCACTATCATTGGTTTCTGGCATATTGATTTGCGGTTCCATTTGATGGCGTCAAGAGTCTAATATAGTCTAAATACATTCTAGAATGTTCCATACCATGCTGGATTAGTCTTTGGCTGATGACACTTGGCCCCTAAAGCATCTAAGTACAGTACCCTCTCCACTGATCACAGCGGCACCAGGTGTCAGATAATCAAAACTAGTTATTCTCTGGGGTTGACGTTTTAACATGCGAGTGAGTGAGTATGGTTTTACGCCGCGTTTACATATCTTCCCGAGGCAAGTGAGTTAACTGACTTTAAAAATCCAGTTTCCACCCTTGCCGAACTAGGCTGGTACTATGGAGTTAGATTTTGACTGGACTTACGAGTCTATGCATTATAGAATCAAAATCGCGCAATGAAATCGAAATCCGGTTCGTAAACTGTCATACATATTTCGATCGATTACAGGATTTGCAAAGCATGTGCACCGCCAACTCGTTGTCAATCTTTTCATGTTATTAATCAAAGTGCTCACGCGATTTGGTGCACTTCGCGATTGAAGACCCGTTTATCACAATATAGATCTTGATTATCGATCAGATCGTCTTGACTGGGCGCCGCCATTTTGTTTGAAGCAAATGCAAGTGATACGAGAGGTGGAATCTGATCGGTCCATTGGCGGCAGAGAAGGGACATAACTCGAAAAAGCCACTGCTTGCGCCATTATCGAGCCCAGGAATTCCAGCCTAGTTCGGCAAGGGTGGAAACTGGACTTTTACTTTTCAGTTAACTCTCTTGCCTCGGGAAGATGCGTTTACGAATGTAAAAAAGGGGAGTTGATATGAAAGGTAAATACAAATATTTAAATATATCACCAGCCCATCAAACCAAAGCTTTTGCTGAACAAACGTGTTTTTATGAGCACCTGATAATAAAACTACGGAAGCGTAGTAGGGCCACGGTGAATTTTTTTTTGGTCCAAGTATCTTCTACGTAGGACTTAGTATCTCCTATGTAGGACTTAGTATGGACAAGACTAACTATCTTGGAGATACAAACGTTTTCGCTGCTTAGCTTGAAATGTCTTTGACTTAACACCATGTAATATTGTCATAATGCATGTCTATATGTGGTTATGAATCAATCTAGAATGTATGCAGTGTTACCTAATCCCATTTCAATATTGATGTTATTTTATGTATATGTGAGCAAGTTAAACATCTACGACGCATGAGCCTTATTTCGGTCACACAGTGATTATGAACGCTGGAGTTTATGCATTGCTTCCTGCTCCTGGTTCAACA